GGAGTCAAATGGGAAATTTACTGGATTTCAGAGAGTTCATCAGTCGATCTGGCGGAACACAACCGATAATGTCACATTTAACACAGGTATGGTTTCGAGGTGGATTTTTGATTGAAATGATTCCAGGTGTTGTCGTGAAACTAATTTTGTTGTTTTTAAAAAAACTTTCCCTGGTGCTGGAAACGTTCTCAGATTCAAAAGCAGAATTTCTTGTAATCTATATATAACTGCTTAGATGTTAATCAATTTTGAAACTAAAATACACATTAATAATCTATTATCTATCTATCTATTTTAGTATAAATTTAAATGCGGGCTTCACCATCTCACCATGTTTAAGCTTTTTCAACGTATTATTTTTGCATATTTAACGAAAGAACTTTTTCATGTTTAAGCTGTGTCGTATATTACAATGGTTAAGAATTTTTTATCGATCTTCCAGATTAGTTTCAGTGGTTATTTCACCGAGTTTAAATTTGGCCTCTAATTACGAATATCCAAATCCTTTTACAAAAAAAAAACTAAATTACAAAAGGGGCCCTTCCGTTTAGTTACGGTAAGTGCACAAGCTGGATAGGGCCATACCAGCGATATAAAAATGCATATATATCAGCAATGAATTCATAAATCAGCATTAAATGCATCGTCGTAATGTTAATTTATCTTAGCCGTCCTTCCTCTACAATAGCGCTTATGGAGTTGTCGATAAATTGAGCTTTGCGTAGCGATCTGCACCCCCTTATACAAAGTATAGAGCTCCTCAGGAGCGCGAAGCTTATTTTAGTTTTTATGTAGTTTATAGATTCTCGATAGCTTTCTTGTCTTTTTTCACTTAGTTTTTCGGCCAATCGCTGCATCGTCCTCGTGGCTGTTGGAGCAGCGCCACCGGTGCATCCAAAAATAAGCGGGCAGAAGCTACTTTGCTCTACGTTTAAAATTCTTTGCTGATATTTGGAGTTCTTCAGCGTTTCGTGGTATTTGTATGCATCCTTATGCAGTTTTCGCGATGTTTTGGCATGGGGGTTGAAAATTTTCACATCAAAGAAAGCGCGGCTGAATCGTGAACCCCAGAGTCCGTTTGCCTTAATGTTAAGTCGTGCCTCATGTAAGCAACTTTCATTGTAGTTGCAAGTGCAAGTGTTGCTCAATATAGTTTCAGGGGACTTAAATTTTTTAATTACAAAAAAGTTTCGGTTCAATTGGTGTCTGCTCAAAAATTCTCGGCTTTAACTCATCCCGGATTTTTACTGCAATATATTACAGATTTCCTTGTAATTGCAAGTGCAAGTGTTTTTCTTTGTAGTTTTAAGAGGTACCTAAAACTTAAAAGATTTTTTTTTATTTATAAAATATCTTTTTTTTTGTATAAAATATCTTTTTCGTATCTGCTGAATGATTGTCAACTTCGTTTCCGCTTCGTAAATTTTGTTCCTTTGCTAATTTAATATTCAATTGTCTGGCATTCTTGCCATGAATTTACTCTATCGAGACTCTACACGAAAAATGAAATTTTGGTAGCCCTAGTTTGTCAAAATGTGTCATTTTTTTTCGGCTTAAAATGTTTTCCAACCTTGCAAAAAGCAAGGGTTTTGCTAAAGGGTACTAGACTATTTTCTCGTAAATAACTTTGTTCATAGAATATCCATTCAGTAGGAATGGTAAGTATCACTTCTGACCTGCTCAATTCTTGAACGTTCAAGCTGCAACTTCTACAGACCCATCTACATCTTGTATCGGAGTCTGAGCTCGCTCGTCCTCGTTCCCACCCATCCTTTCATCCTCTAACGACGAAGTCACCGACGACAAGGGCTCATCTTGGTTCACGGTATCTGGAGAAACCTCAAAATGTATAGCTGCAGAACTCCGCGGAGGAGATGTTGACAATGGTAAAAAAGATACCCTCGTCTTCTCTTACTAAACAAAATTAATTGTCACTAACTGTTCCTAACTCAATGAGATATCTCGTCAGTTTTTTTCAAAGATTGATTTCTAGTGTTTACTATTTGAGGTCGATAACGCATCAGTCAAAGTTTATTTGTCGTTCGGAGTCTTCTGTCTTACATCGTCAGCACGTTTCATGTTTGCCATTTCACAACCTCGGAGACACTTCGTGTAAAGTCACTGCAATTTTTTTTGCTCAATAAGTGATCTTCACTCATGAGGCAATTTTACAATTTTTTCGATGTAACTGTAATAATGGCTATTTGAGCTGGATGGCGCTTTAAGACCAGTCGGCGCTTTTTTCATAGCTGTCTGTTTCTGTAGCCGTCTCTTCTGACACGTTGCGTTTTGAGGTTTGAGCGCATCTTATCCTCTTCCTAGTCCATAAGAGTTAATCCAACCAAATCTGGATTTGTCAAGCTTCACAAAATCCATCATGTTGGTCTCCATGCTAGCTAAGTCCTTCTTCAATTCCTTAAAGGCATCATTCACCTTTTTCAGTTTAACTTTCGACATGGTTCCTGTCGATTGAAAATCATTGGGGAGCATCGATAGTTTCCCTGGGTCCTTTGATATCACAGATCTTGATATGGTCAGTTCATGTTCCAGATCTTGATATGGCCAGTACATCTTCGAGGGCGTCGATGATACGTTTATTCTACTTTAGCAAAACCCTGTTCGATGTATTCGGCGAATTTTTCGGCATCATTTTGAACAGTTGAATTGTTAAATATGTATGGTAACCGTTTGACAGAATCTATTATATATTTAAATGCGGGATTCACTATCTCGCCTGTTTAAGCTTTTTCAAGGTAATATTTTTGCATGTCTAATGAAAGAATTTTCTCACGTTTAAGCTTTATCGTACATTGCAATGGTTAAGATTTTTTTTTCAATTTTCCAGTTTGATGTCAAGGATTATTTCGTCAGTTTTGAGTTAAGGAACCCAATGGTGGGAGGCTATAAGGATTCCCCAGGTGTTGCGAATTTTGCCTCCATCATATAAAATTAACCAAATCCTTTTAGTTTACGAGATACAATTTCGGAGATTTTTAAAAATATCTAGAAAATTTGAATTTAAAATTTCACAAAATTTGATTTTCTCAACCCTGTAGTTGGCTGCTTTCAGGGTACTCTCAGGGATTGCGAATCTTGCCTCCATATCTCATTTCTAAATTGTAGTTTTCGAGATATGACGTTTTTTATGATTTTTAGAAAAAAAATTTCTAAAAACTTAATTTTTTTTGAAGATCTCCATCCTGTACTTGCAAACTCTGAGAGTATTTTCAGGGGTTACAAATCTTGACTCTAAATATGACTGCTCAAACTTTTGTAGTTTTTGAGACAAGACATTTTTGTGATTTTTTCAAAAAATTTTCAAGAAAACATAAATTTAATTTTGTTTATCAAAGTTTGAAATGCCAATTATTGTAGTGGGGGCTGTGTAGGTACTGCAAAGGTGCTATCACGAGCTGCAAATTGCAAATCTTGGATCCAAATGCGTTTGCTCAAACGCTCCTAGTTTCGGAGATGTGACGCTTGTTATGTCTTTTAGTTTGAAGTGTTCAAAGTACTTAGTTATAATTAATTTTACAAAATTTGATGTTCACATCTCCAAATTGAGGCTCTTCCGTTGTATTTCCAGGAAATGCAAATTTTTCCTCTGATTATGACGGCACAAATTCTTGTAGTTTTTGACAACTGACGTTTTCAGTGATTTTTTCTAAAAAAATTTCAGAAAACAATTTTTTTCTTCAAATTTTGAATTTTCCAACCCAGTAGTTGGGGGCTGTCAAATTACCTTTAGGGGTTGCAAATCTTGCCTCCAAATGTGGTTGTTCAAATCTTTGTAGTTTTCCAGATATTTCGTTTTTTTGTGATTTTTTTTTAATTTGAAATTCCTAACCCTGTAGTTGGGTACTGTCAGAGTACTCTCAGGTGTTTCGAATCTTGCCTCCAAATGTGACTGGTCAAATTTTTGTGTTTTTGAGGCAGGAAGTTTTTAAATGGTGCCCATATATATATATATATATATATATATATATATATATATATATACATACAGGGGCGGATCTAGGATTTTCTCGAGGGGGGAAGGGGCGCATTTTCAAAAAAAAATCGAAAATTTTGTCGACCTTTTTTTTAGGGTCGACCTACTTGATTTTTTGAGCTCTCCCTAAGCACTGTTTAGTCCCTGTTTATGCCCAAAATTTCAGCGCCGCAGGCAAAATTTTGAAAAAACAGGCCACAAAGGTGTTTTTAGGCACTTTTTTGAAAAAGTTTGACCAAAAAATCGCGTTTTTCGGCGCGCGCTCCCTCCTCAAAATTAGTAAATATTGGCGCCCTAGGCGCCTTTAGAAAACTTTTAAAGTCGGTCGGCCAAAAATGGGTTTCTTAAAAAGTACCAAAGGGGGGACCCTTTGGGTCGGCAGGGTGTCGAATCCCTGAGGGGGAGCGTCCGCCGCCCCCCCCCCCCCCTAAGTCCGCCCCCCCTAAATCCGCCCCTGTATATAAATTCAGAACAGCACTCATAAAATCAAAGAGAAAAAATAAGCAAGCACACACTTTGGAGCAAACGCGAACCTACAAACAGTGTGAAAAATATTGAGAAAGGTTATGTTCATTCAGACGATTTGAAAATAGCATATTATTAATACTTGTGTGCGCGGTAAAACGTTTTACCTGTCGCCTGTAAAATTTAAAACATGTCAACATTGAGTTCTTAAATATGTATCAAGTGAAACGGCAATTAAATAATATATAGATTTAGATTAGGCAAAGGCCGTGTCAGGTTGTAATTATTTTTTGCAGCCTTTATTGCCTAATTTCGAGGGCAAATATTTTCCCATGCGATTACGTGTTTCAGAATAGATGGGTCGTTAAAACGTTTAAAATTTAATGCAAGTTTTCATGACAAGGGTTTTGTTTTCGGCTCAACAGGTTTCGACTCAGAATTTTGGCTCTCTGTGCGGAATTTTGAGTTTCCTTTTAGTTTTTATATCTTGTCATCTTTTTTTTAGGTTAAATTCGTGGAGTTAGTTGACGATACCTATCTAGTAATGACATCGCATCAAGGAATCCAGGTAACTTTCAAATTACATCGAAAAGAGAAGCCTCTAAACGAACAATTTCAATGCTTCCTTTTGCTTCAGATGTACAGCAGTCAGAATGAAGTCGCCTTTTGGTATTCCCTTACTAAGGGTCCACCTTCAAGTGATAAAAATACGGGTCCACAAACAAATTCAGACTTCGTCAGAGGGATAACTGCTGTTGGAAAGTCTAGCGTTCAAATAGGTATCTTTATATTATTTTTCTTTTTAGTTCTTGAAAAAAGTATGCTTGGATGTCTACCAATGTGGTCCATTTTTACAAGGAAATGCTCGTGGTGAGATATTAACATTCACACACATACCACCCGGGGCGGGAGATGGCAGAGGCGATGGGTACAAGTTCGCAATTGGCAGGACTCTTTCAGCTGAAAAACACAAAGGCTTCCCAATCTCAGATTTGTATTCGCCGAATGAAGAGCGTGAAGAAAGATTTGTGTCTGCAGACGAAAGTGGACAGATCTGTCTGTGGAACAGAACGGACATGACAGTAGCCTGCGCGAAGAGAAAAGATGAGTGAGTACAAAAAAAACTTTCAGATGCAGTTCAAACTTCTTTCCAAAGTTTATTTGTTTATTTCAGCTCATTAACGTTAAATATTTGTTGAACTTCAATTGAAAGGCTTCCAAGACAATAAAACTTCATGCCTTGATGTCATTTTAATGACTGGGTGATAATTCACTACAGGCCACATTTAGTAACCAAGCGACTGTTTGTAAACGGAGACAATTCGTTGCAGTAGGTTAAGCTAAGCAGCAACACTGATTCACGCTCACTCTACCTCTTTTTCTAATTAACAGTCACAAGCGTAGTGAATACTCTAAAAGACTTTGTGTTTTTTTGCTTTTTCAGGAAGTTCAGTTTGTTTCTTTTGTTGAGAGGAAGGCAAACTCTACTATCGAACATCAAAATTGTGAAGGTCACAAAAAACGTGATCAACTGCTAGTTTCGAAAGCGGATTTTCATTTTCAGATTTCCCAGCTCAATAAAAATTTTACTTATTGAACCAGTTTTCTCAAACTGGGTTAATTTTATCAAAGAAAAGTTTCATTGGTAATTTTTCGGAAATTTAGCGATTTAGGGCCTTGTATTTTAAATTCGAATGTGAAGTTTTTAAACGCAAGTCTATTTACTTGCGTTCATGGCTCTTTTCCAACTGTCCTGTCTTTTGGCTCTGTTTTAAATTTCTAATTGAATTTGTTTTGACAAGTAACCCTCGTTAAGTGCTAATGAACGAAGTTATTGTTCCGACTTTCGTAACGAAAGTAACGGAATATTTGTGCTCGGGGTGGTTTTTTCTTCACACAAATTTCGACTCATTCACTAGCCTTTTTGACGGATTTTTTTATCATTCAAAAGGTATTGTTGTCCTGAGCTTAAATTTGGAAAGATATTTTACCTGTGATCATTTCTTCTTAAAGTTATGGTGGTTTAAAGATTGCCATTTTGGCCACTTTGGGACAATTAACGCGCGATATATTTCGCGCTATTACAGCGTAAGCGGAGATTTAATCTGTCTTAAAAATCCTACTTTATATGGCGTGTACTTTTGTAATTTGCACTTTATATGGCGTGTTGGGGGATGGGTTTTACAAAAAAGTTTCACAAAAAAAAATTCATTTTTTTGTTACATTTAATTTTTTTCATGTTTTTGCTGCTCCCTAGACCTTGAAAGACAGTCGGAACAATCAGGGCTTCGCTCTGGTACGAGCAGTCTTGTTTATCATTCATTTTGGCCGCGTGTTTCTTTCCGGAATATGTCTTAAAGGTTGTTCACAAGGTTGTACACGCTCCAATTCTTTTGCTAAGAGGAGGACAAGTTCCACTCGAATTACTAAAAAGCAAATGGCTCGCAAAAAAATTATGACATGCTTCGAAAATAGAATTCCTGCATGATAAAGAGTTTCCTAAGGATCATTTTTATCTAATCCGCTTTCATTTATGAAAAAAGATCAGTCATTTCAAATCGTTAACCTTTCTTCGTTTCCTTGAGTTCATTAATACTTTTCTAACTTTCTTTAGGCGTGTTCGGTTTTTCGAAACAAAGCATGTGTGATCTTTGTGTAATTTAGCTATCAGTTTAAAGCTGTGTTAGTCAATTCAATATGATGTTATATACGCTTTAGTAAGTTGTTATACTGGCGAGAGCAAAATGCCTTTTAATTGGGTAGTAGATTTCTTCCCGGGTACTTTGATTTTCATACACATCTATGAATTGAAATTGCTTAGTTACTACCTAAATAGCCTTCAGACTCTTTCACACTTGGTCAAGCGATGACGTGGTTGACTTTGCATCCTAAGGTCTGGTGTTCGAGCCCGGCCAGGCCTTGTTTGTTTTGGATAATTGAAATTGACTTTCATTTTTCTGCTTATATTTTAACGGCTTGGTTACTGCATCACGGTTTTTCTTGAACTGTTAGTAATTTTTATTGTACTTGTAAATGTTGATTTACTCGTGTAATTTGTTTCTTTTTAGACCTGACTTTGTGTATCTTCTGTTTTTCTTGAATTGAAGATTTGTTCGGACAAAATGGTTCGGCTTATGTTTGATTGCTGTGCATAAAAATCATACCACAGTTACTTTTGTGACTAAAATTTTATATAAAAAAAACGGAATAAAAAATTTTCCTGTGCAGTTTTCGTGGATAGGTTTTTATCTTTGCCTATTTTTCTTTTGTTTGTCAGCGCCAACTAAATAGAGTGAATTCTTGTTAAGTGCTTCGTGATTAAATAAGAAATTTTACATTTGCAATTTCATAATCATACGCGCGCTCGCCGAAAAATCACACCCAAATAGTTCTTGCTTTAAATACTCATAGATTTTAGTTTCATTTATTTTCCTGGTGCTAGTTGCCCATTTTTATTTTAAGCTTAGACGCGTAGAAAGAAACAACGCATGGGTAATTGAATTGGCTCACAAAGCCTACCAATTTTGGTAATAGTTAAAAAAACTGATTGATTTTTTGCATATAACGAAAGGTGCTGTTTTTGCAACTTGATAACCCAGATTATTCAAATTGGTTTAAAAAATTTTGCAAGATTTTCTTTTTATTGGTAAAAAGTGTCAGATTTTGTTAAACAAATTTTTAAGCGAAAAAGTGAGCAATATTAAAATTTAATTAAAAAAACTTGTTTTATCCTTGTTGAAAATTTATAATGGAAGATTGAAAAGGTGGCTGAAATCATAATTCATTCATTCAAGTCAACAAAAATGTTTCATTGATTATTTCACCCTTTTTCTATAAAAAATAAGATGTGTGAGAAACGGCAAAGAGAATAATTATAAACATTTTTTTTTTTGGTAAATAACTGTAGAATTTTTTTTCAAAATTCAAACTGCTTATTCGAATTTACCTTTTTTTGTTAAAGCATGAAACAAGATGCGTTGGTAAAACGATTGCAATTGTATACTGCGGAAATGTTCCTTAGATGAAGGAATTATATGATCTGTAAACTTTCTCGATGGAGCTAACGCTTATTCATATTTATCCAAGTTTTCAGTTTTTTTGTTAGATTTTGTCAAACCGATCACAGATTGTTGTGTTTTTTTTTGTCAATATATTTTTTTGATATATCAATATTTGCAATATGTTTTTTTTAAGTGTTTTTTGAATTTTTTGCTGAATAATGTTTTAATTGCGTCGATTATTTAAAAACTAAATGAGCATCTGAAAGTTTTCGAGTGCATGCTAAAATTATTTGTTCTCTGATATTTTTTACCATTGATTCGCGTGTATGCTCAAGCTACCAAGCATCTTTATTTGCAATTTCGACTTTCGATTGTTGAGTATGCTGAGCGCAGTTTTCAGTATCAGCTCAAAGTATTGTTATGAGTTTACGCTATTTATACTAGCGTCAGCTTAGTGTAATATTAAGTACCTTCTTTTTTTTCTAACCGAAGTCGCAACTATTGATGCCACGTTTGGGGCACCTTTAACTAACTTTTTGTTAGCTTTTGCTTTGACATTCGAATAGTAATAAGTTAACGCAGTTGGTGCATTTTTACACAACCAAAGCTTGTGTGATTGTATGAACTCTTTTTTTCCAAACTAAGTCGCAAATATTAGTGTTCATTGTGAAAGTGCTTTTTGCAGTATGTGAATAAGATCCATAACCAGCTTTTAAGTACAGCCAGTTGGTATAATTTTCATTCATCAAATGAACCAAAAAAAGCTATTTGTTCCAAACAACAAACTCGATTTCAGAAATTTTCTAACTCAGTGGATGCCTTCAGTTTGTTATATTCCAAATTAGTACTTGCAAAGTTGTGTCTTTTTGTATTTGATGCCCTTTTTGCTGAATCGCATTGGAAATTTATTGGCATATGTAGCTGATTTTTTGTATTTAGTGTTTGGCGGTGGTTAAGTGTGCGTGGCTGAGTGGTTAGTGCGTGAGACTCAAAATCTCTTGATTGCAATAGTCGCAGATCGAATCCTGGACCTAGCCGAGTTTTTGCTAATTCGAAGCTCATTTCTATTTATTGTTATTACACTTTCTAGTGCTGCTTTTTATCGCGTTCTGGCTAGTGTTTGCGAAGCGAAGCTTCGCCTCTGTGTTAAAAAAGCTGTTTTCTTTCTTATTTCCGTTTTTGTCGTTTGTGCGCTTAGAGTAAAGGGCAAAAAGACCAAGTTATTAGCAAATTACTGAAGATTTTTGGTATAATTAGCTCAAAATAAATCAGAATGAACTGTGAATTCTACCAGGTCTGTCTAAAAGGCAAAATATCATGCCTGTTTGTCTGGTTTATCTGTTCAAGTGTAAATTATGGAGATAAAAAAGTTAATCTTTTATTTACTCAGTGACATTTATCTGTTATCTAATTGTTTATCGATGACTTCAGTATGAGATCTCGAAAATCTGATAAAATACTCTTCTTTGCGTTACTTTGATATGCAAAGATAATATAAAAAAATCCTGCATAGGCCTTTTTGTCTTATGTTTCTAAAACTTCAGCTGTGAGTTAAGGTCCGGGGTGGGCTTTTCATAGAGTAATTTCGGATAAGGACACCGTCTGCTCGTCATGCTCTTTGTTTTTGACCGGATAGGTTCGTGCAACTCCTTAGTCTAATACCAATCCTAATCTTACTTCTATATTTCCTAGTCTTAATAGATCTAGCGATATACTAGTTTACTGCGAAGTTAGAGGAGAGAAGAAAGCAACTGATTTCAATCTTCATTCTCAATTCTCTGAACCACTAGGGTTTCAGGTTTACAGATATAGAGTAAGATTTAGTCATGAATTATGATAAGTTAATTTTTAATATTTTACAGTGAATAATTTTAAAATATGATTTAAATAACTAGTTTCAAACTGGTTTCAGCTGTTTTAGCGATCCATGTAACTCAGTAAGAATACGACAAAACGTAATAGCAGGCGGATTTGCTTTCGGAAAGATACTTCTTTTTTCTGCTGACTGTGGTTCTATGTTAGTGGAGATAAACGCGCACTGCAAATCTATCATGGCTATAGACTTCTCAGAAGACATGACGGTAAGATCATTACTGCCTGTCGTTTTGTTGCTTGTTCTGACTTCAGAATGCCTGCATCAAATTAGTTGTCTGCAAATGTTCACGAGGGTTATCATTGCAAAAGATCGAAACTTTTAAAATAGTTGTAAACGTTATCTTTAACTCCTACTTTATGTCTTGGTTTAAGTCAGCCACCGTTTTTGATTGAAAAGTTAGTTGAAAAATGTTTAGTGCATTAGTTGAGAAATGTTTAGTTGCTGTCCGCTAGCGAAGACACATTCTTTCGACTATGGAAAGTTCGTTCTATGGACAACGAGGAATTTGATGTAAGTGTGTGTTACGTTCAAAATTGTATAAAATTTGCTCAATGTTTTTAATAATTAATCTGTTGATTATATTGTTCGTATGCACAGGTGGAATTAGCTCATGCTGATTGCATGGAAAATATGACTTTGACTGGATGCTGCTTCTTAGGCAACTCCAAATTTGCCGTTGCTGCGTACGACTACGCTGAGATCCATGTTTTCTCCATTTCATAGTTGATGCTGTGTGTTTGCGTGATTATTTAAGCTCAATAGAGCTCCTTAAAAGTTGAAGTTGAACTTACTGATTTTTTTTCAATTCTAGATAATAACTTATGTGGCGATTTTTCTCAAAATATGATAATATACTCTGTTCAGCTTTCAGCTGTCTTTCTGACAAGTTAAAAATGTAACGCACTAAATTAAATACTGTAAAATAAAGTAAAAAGTTTCGTTTTAATTGATCAGAGGAGCTCTCTGTCCAAAAGCCTCATAGGAAGAACGAGAAGTCTCTGAAATGAAGCTTATAAGTTTCTGCGTGTATTCAATTAATGTGTAAATCATTTGTGAATATGTAAATTAAATCTCTTTCCAATCAGTTACGATAATAACCAAGTCGTTTCTGAATGAAAAAATTAATATATGAAATACTTTTTGTCTTCATTAAGTGCTAATTGAGTGCTAAAAGGTGAGGTTCTTTTTATTGATGTCGCTCGGTATCCACTTGTATAAAGATCAATAACTGGTTGCTGTGCCAGAGCACGAAGTTCTCAAATCTTTTTTTTGCACAATCGATTTTTTTTTAGCCCAACTCGCATTTTCGGAAACACTTTTGCTGCATTATATTGGTAATTTAATAGCTGCGAAGTGGTTCGATACGCTTTATGGATGGCTAGCGTTTGCAGATTCGGTGAGCACATCGAGGATTGGGAAAACGGTAGACCGGTAATCTCCAGATCGGAGGTTTGATTCCGGCAGATGGGAAGTTTTTTCATTTTTCAAAGCTTGTTAACTTTTATTTGTTCATTTTTGCAGCTATTTTTTGCTGTTTTCTCGCTTGCGTTCACGAAGTGTATCTTCACCGCTGGATTACTTTTTCGTATATCTCAAATGGATATGAAAATAACATAGCTCTTTCCAGATAGCTTTGATAACGTTAAAAAGCTATTTTCATTTGTTTCAAATGATGGTTGGCGATTCAACGACTGACTTCTCACAATAGACGATACGTTTGTTTAAAAAGTGAAATTGTTCTGTTGTTCATGTCCTAGAGTGTTTTGAAAAGTATTTAATTTTGCTCAAGTTTAGATTGACAAAGGGCTTTATTACGAAATAATGCATATCGCCAAACATCGTGATGCTTGGTTTTGCTTGAAAAAGAAATTTCTCTAAGAAGTTTCTTGGTTCAAATTTTTCTCGATAGATAAGTTAGTTTGATTTCTTTTTCAGTGAGTTCGTTCACGATTTTCTATTAATCTTTGTGGGACAAGTGTAATAGTAGGTTCCCAACAAACTAACAGGGTCCCTAAAATACAGTGCCGTAAAATTTTCCCATTTTTTGCTTAGGTGATATTAACCATCACTTTATCTCACTTGTACCGTTTTGTTGTGTACACAAGCATAATTGTGTTATAGTGTGAACTATCTATTTTTTCCAACCGAAGTCACAAATATTGTTGCGACGCAAATATTGTTGCGAAATAATGTGTTCATTTCGAAAGTGTTCATTTTGATCAATACTAGCTATTAAGTACAGCCAATGCTAAGGTTATTAACACCGGCAATTATTCTTCAGACTTTCGTAACGAAAGTAACGGAATATTTGTGCTCGGGGTGGTTTTTTTCTTCAGACAAAATTCGATTTTTTATCTAGCCATTTTTGACGGAATTTTTAAATATCATTCAAAAGGTTTTGTTGTCTTGAGGTTAAATTTGAAAAGGTATTCCACCTGTGATCTTTTTTGTTAATTCTTGTCACTTTGGGAAAATTAATGCGCGATATATTTCGCGCTATTAACGCGTAAGCGGAGATTTAATCCGTCTTGAAAATTGTTCCAAATTGGTTGAAGGAAGCCTATTCTCCGTAAATGATTTGTTACTAGGAGCGAAGTTTATCACTTTGTAGTTTGCGTGGATGATTTTCACAAAATTCTCAAATTTGAAAAAATATATATATATATTTTTCAAGTAAACATTTATTTTTTTCACGTTTTACTTCTCCGTAGACCTTATAAGGCAGTCAGGGCATTCAGGGCTTCGCTCGGATCGAGCAGTTTTGTATTACAAACAGCACTTTAGCTTCAAGACATCATGGATCTGGAGCATAGAGGTAGGGAGGAGACCCGCAACAAAATAAGAGGGTTCGAACCTGGGAAGGGTCGGATGTTTTGAATGATTTTTTTTGTATACTAGCTAAAATGCGTTCGCTCTATAAATTGAGGCATGTGTAATTATTATTTTTCTTTCTTTTTTAAATTGTAAATTAGCAGCCCTGGCGTTGTATATTTTCCTGTTTTCTTTTTTGTTTTTTTTTTCGCTTAAAAGTGTATTCAGCTGAAACAGTTTCGGCTTATGTTTTATAGGGTTAGTTACCTTATTTTGTGTCACCTCAAAGGCAAAAAAAGGTAGATGTTTAAAAAAATATATTTAGGCAGTTATTGTTGCAAGATCTCAAAGTTTTAAAATTTCGAAATTCTATTTTTTATGCCAACAATTTTGTAGGGCATTTTTTTCGGATCAATGGGGTCTTCCTTCATTTTGGAAAAGTTCCAGAAATATGCGGCGTTTGCTAAAAATATAACCAGAGGTTTCGCATTTCATCGCACCTTTTTTTTCTGGCCTAGTTTGCAATGTTATGTCTTCATAAGCTCAAATTTCGACATCGACTAATGGTAAAAGGTTTAAATTTTACCACAAAAGTAGATATTTTTTTAACATATTTTTGTACAACTAAGCGTTTGTTTTATATCGCGAGTTCACTTTTTTCTAGGTAATTTGCTTAAATTGAATATTCATATTTACAAAATTAAAACCTTTTTGCCATTTTTATGCTTGTGTTTGCAAAGTGAAGCTTCGCTTCTGTGATACATATGTTTTGTATTTTTTTTGTAAAAAATGGTTCAATTTTTGTTACTTTCGATTTTGAAGTATTTATCTACCATGGTACTTCAGAGGCTAAAGAATTTCAAAAAACTAGGTTCCCTTTTCCGGTAAACTTTTCCAGTGCCTTTTCCCAATTTCAAAAAACATTTCCGGTTCTCTTTATCGTGTTCTTATTTCTTTTTTAAGTGATCTTCGCTAGGATATCGGCAATTTAGATTGTTATGAATTGGCCAAAATTGGGGTCCTCATTTTCAATGTTTTTGTGACAATGCTTTTTTTCTTGTTTTGCTTTCATTTGCTGTAAGGATGCCTAAAATTCTCTTTTCAAAACTTCTTAAGATTTTATGAAAAAAATTCGTCGATAAATTTCACGTTCAATATTTAACTGCAAAATTTATAATTTATTCTGATGTTTAATTATCACGCTTTCGACTGTTTCAGTTCTATGTTCCTTGGATACCAAATGGCTGGAGAGTTGAAACTTACGTCCTCCAGAGTTTTCTTGTTTTGTTTTAGTAGCGCTTGATTTGAATGCGGGATTCGACTCGTTTGAACATAGAACGCTACTGAACGACGTACCTGATATGAAACATCTCGAACAACAAGATATGGATATCCGCATATCTGCAAATTAGGTTCCTTTATTGTACTTGCGAAGCAAAGTGTTATAGTACGAACTTTTTTTCCCAACCTAAGTCGCAAATATTATTGCGGCTTAAAGCATCAATATTTTCTGCATCGAATATTTTGTTGCACCTTCATAGCTAATTGATTACATGTGCTTTGACATTCTAATAGTTATAAGTTTACACAGTTGATGCATTTTTAATCCATCAAGTGAACCGAAGAAAGCTATTTGTTTTAAACAGCAGTACAACGATAAAAAGCTCGATTTCAGAAATTTTCTAACTTAATATATCTCGCAATTTTTTGGAATGCATAATTTATACATAATGTGGTTTTTGATTTGCGATTTGTTATATGCAAAATTGTATCTTTTTGTATTTGATGCTACTTTGTTGCATCGAATTGGAAAATTATTAGCCAATGTAGCTGCGTTATTGGTGGCTAGTTTTTTGGGGATTTTAGGCATCCGTGGTTGAATGGTTAGTGCGTTAGACTCAAATTTCTAGGTCGCAGATTTTTGCTAATTCGAGTTTTTGCTAAGCCTCGAGTTTTTGCTAAGCCTCGAGTTTTCGAGGCTTATTTTTATTTTTTCTTATGTCACTTGATAGCGGCCTTTTGGTCGTGTTTTCGAAGCACAGCTTCGTCTCTGTGTCTGAAGTTCCGAAACTCCAAGTCAAAACGTCGGAAGATCAAACAAGTTGCGCCTCAAAGAGTAGTGCTGTCACCCATTTTATTTAACATCTACACGAGTGTGATGAGGCGACTTTTAGTACCTCATTTAATTCATGCTCTTTTGCAGCTAAATTATATAACAGTTGGTTCAAGGTCACCGGTTTGGCCTTATCGAGTGACACACTGTGTGCGTTCACTCTTATGTTATATACGTCGCTTGATAGATTTAAATTTATTCAACCTACTGTTTACTGTTTCTTCTAGTCAGAGCTTGACTAACAAATATCTAAATTAAACCAAGAAACTAACAACTAATCAAGCAATTCAATTTTACGAACAACCAAGTTTTGTCCTTTAAATCTCGGCAAATGTCATGGCGCAGCCAGCAGTTCCTGTGAATGAAGACAGGACTGACCTTTTAGGTATTCCTCCTTTTTGGGCAAAACCTTCGATCAATCTGCCGTTCCTTTGGGAATCTTGGATTGGACAATTCTTCCTGGCAGTTGGGCTGAAAGATAATATAAATCCTCAGGATTTATTAGCAGAACCCGCGGAGGTCATTGACGAACCTCCTCCGAGAGCTGAAACTGGCGGTGAAACGGAAGACGCTGCGGAGGCCAATGCCCGAGTCCTCAGAAATCAGGCAGCAGTTCGTCGAGTTAATGAGTTGAATATCGAGCTCAGACGAAGAGGCCCTAGGATAAGCCTGAACTGGTTTTATCACGAAGCCGAGGCCCGACTGAAATCACGGTTGTTCTTCGCTTTGTGAAACGAAGGGAAACGACGTTTCGCAGACTCCTATCCGCATACGGACCTTAGTGTTACCCTTTTTCGTG